TTTTTTTTTTTTTTAAATCTATACCACATATTCTTCCACACTCTCACTGTCAGCGGCCTCTTAAGGCAAAGACCTGATGTGGGCTGCACACAGAGGAAGAGGCTGGCACTCACTTGAGCATTGAGACTGTTGGCAGCGTTGGCGGCGCTGTTCGCTGCTCCACCGGCTTCCACGGGGCCCTGGACGGCCCCCGCTGCGTACAGGCTGCCCCCGTAATCCAGGGCCAAGCCGTTCTGGGGGGGCGGCGGTGGAGGTGGCGGGAACGCGGAGAAAGGTGGTGGTACGAGTCCCTCCTGACCGCCAGCACTATCCTGAGAGCCCTGTTAGAAGACAGGAGAGAAGAGTGAGGAGGGAGTGAAAGCCAAAGTAGCCGGCTGGCGAATTTCCACAGTATCTTTTACTGAGAGCATCACCCGACCACACAGAGACCACTTTCCCAAGAGCTTGAGTCTAAAAGTCATACAAGCATGGATATTATATTTCCATTTCCCATGTATGTGTGTGTGTGTGCAAGTGCGTGCATGTATCTACACCCCCCACCCATTAAATATTCACTGCAGCCACATCTATTATTGAGGGTCAGATGCCTCTATGCTCAGAGTGTTGTACAATAGTGAGTGTCTAACGCCTGCACACACACACACACACTCACAAACGCCTCTGCACACAAACCACCTTTGACACGCAAACACCCACACACCTGAACGATCACACAAAGACCAACTGTTAGTAAGGAAGCCTGCCCAAGTATTTTGTGCACATTATTACCCCCAGAAAATTACCAAACGTTGCCGACACTGGAGTGCGTAGGAGGACAGTACAGGCACCCACAAACACATGGTGAAACACAAACACGACTCCGGCAATAACACAACACAGACACACGCGCACACACACATTCCTTGCTGTTGGCAGTGGGGCATGGATACCCTAAATGGTAATAGTTAGAGGGTGGCGGGAGACAGCAGGGTCGGGAGAGAAAGGGTGGGGGGGTGGACGATAAAAGGTGATGACTGATCGAAGAGGCATGGCCTGCGTCTGATCCATAGCTGCAAAAGATAAACCAACCATCGCTCTCTTTTTATAACTCGCTAATAACTGCACCAAGAAGGCAAATCAATTAAAGACTGTAACAAACTGAGATAACCTTATGGTTTGGTTTATTTACAACGTTATAAGATATTTATAACAGGTCTACAGCCACGCTAGCGGCTCTGTGAGGCTGTAACTTCAACACGGTTTGCCTATGAGCTTACCATGCTAGATGTCACATGGCTAACCATACTGATGTTAAGCAGCGTAAATTTCTACTTATTCCCATTAGCTTAGTGTGTTTATCCTAACATTTAATTATTGAACCAGTACAGCGAGGTGTGATTGGACACTGTTCAGTTTTTAGGTATTTTTTGGGCTAATGCCACGATACTGCTTTGTCAACCTTTGTCAGAGCCAGTTTCCATTGTTGTTCCGACGTTTACGTCAGTCCAAATAACCTTTATCAAGAAGCGCATCCTGTTGGTTAAATAATAAGGAATAATAATGAAAAATAATTGATCTCAATCTTGACCAGAAAACAGACAGTCAAATAAAGAACTAAAAAACAAATTAATCATAAAAAGAAACATGTTCATGATGCACCAATCAGGCTTTCTTATAGGTAGCAGGGTAGATTTAAAAACAAAGACATATGGCTGTACTTCTTAATCTCTGGTCTATGTTAGTCTTCTTATCTCCCTCCTCTCTTCTAATCCAATATACATTATTTTTGCATGAGTAACATAAAAGCAGTGCATTATAATAATTCAATAGAAAAATAATATTGCGTGTTTGTTTTTTCC